CGGCGAACCGCGCATCGCCCGCGGCGTCGCCGTCGGCGTGGCGGGCCTGCGCGATCGCGTCCAAGGCGTGGAGGGCGGCATCCAATACCTCGCCCGCGGTGGCGGATTCGGTGGTGAGGATCACCTGGCGGCCGACGGCACCGTCGACGGCCCGGCCACCCTTCGTCGCCTCCTCGAGATTCCTTTGACGTAGCCTGCGTGCAGCGCTCTTGCCCATTGGGTTGGATGGGTTGTATAGGCCTTCCTTTTGGTTTGGTTTGCTAATCCCTATGCTACTTTTAGAGAGGAATCCTTCCACCTAGCGTAGTGTGGTCGCACAAGGTGTGAGTAGATTACTTGGCACCATTAAAAGAAATGCCAAGAGTTGCTGGAACTGCTGCCTCCATCATTTTTTCAAAAAAAAAAAAATATACACCGTATCCCTACCCCACCACTTTACACGATTGGATGACGCTTCACGGGTAAAGATCCTCGGATAAATACCTCACGAATGGATCTTTTTTTTTTTGAGATTACGAATGAATTAGAGATAATTAAAGCAATGTTCAATAGAAAAGAAAAAACATGACACCGACCATTCGGACGCTCTCCCACAAATTTCATAAACTTGATCGGATATAAAAGGTCAATAATAAAAGGAAATGATAATAATTAGATATCAATAAAAATACCCCATTCATATCGAATGGAAATCGGATGGAGGAGCGTTTCTTTCACTTCCTTCATATGTAAGTAAATAACCTCACGAAAGTTCAAACTTTCCACTAGGCTTTCCGCTCCCAGGGTAGTTGTATAAGCCCCTCGGACATGGATTTATTCGTAACTTTGCCTATTTTTTTTCCATTTGATTCGATGCGAGGGATGCCATCTAGATGGTTACTTCGCCGTCTCCGACTCCGTCTTCGTCGCGGGTTCGACGATTCGTTTCAACCCGTTGGAGGGGATGATCGACTTCGTGTGCTTGGCGTTCACCACCACTTCACAATGCCGCAACGCTTCACGCAGCTTCGGCAGCGTATCCAACGACGACGGCGGCGGTGCGTGCGGCGGCCAGTTCGCCTCGATGAACTCCATACTCGTGTAGACGATGCGGTTGCCAAGCCGGTCGATCTGCGAAATCGCGATGTACTGCCGTCCCGCCACGAGCGGTTTGCAGGCATTGCACTGAAGGCTAATCGAGACGTGCTGCGCGGGCTGCGGGAAGTTCACCACCCAGACGTGGAAGGAGGTGAGCATATCGGTGAGGGCGAGGAGGGCGCCGGTTCTCATGTGCATCTCCCCGCCCTCGCCGCGGTCGCACACGCCCGGCGTCACCACAAAGGGCATCGCCGCGAGGTGGTGGAAGAGGTAGGGCCTTCCTCCCGCCGGAAATGACAGCGCCCTGGCGGCGTCCGGGCTTAGCACCGTGCCCTCTTCGTGTTTCACCTCCGCGAGGCGAAAGTCCCGCACGGGGAGATCGACGCACCCGCGGAAGACCTCCACGAACCGGTTGGATTCCTTCACGGACGCCTCAAAGACCTCCACCAGACGCGGTTCCGTCTCCACGATGGACTGCCAAAGTGGGCAGCGCAACAACGGGGGTTCGTTGCTCATTGGTATCCCTAAGCCAGAAGCAAAAGGCTACCTGGCACGCAACTTCAAAAAGTGTATTGGTGAAATAGACTCTAATGTATAGCGTGTGCTGCGTATCCTATGGACACATCCAGACACATTATATATATATATAAATATATTTTGAAACTCAAATCCAAGATTCAGACAAAGAAGGGAACAGGTTGTTAAGAGGCACCGCCGCCTGAACCGACGTTCGCGAACAAAACAAACCATTGAAATGATCCTCCATCATTAAGGAAGCCTCATGGGTTCCTCCATCTTGTTCATACGATAAGGAAACGTCCTTTCCCAACCACCACTCCCATATTTTGAAATCATTTTTTTGATTTGAGAATACACTTCAGATGAACGACATGTGCTAGTTTTTCGTAAAGATTGAGAGCCGCATGTAGGCCTTGTAGGCTTGTTATATCCCGTTCACGGGCCAAAATTTCCTCCGACACAGACTGAGGCTCCAGGTAAAAGTCCGTTTTAAAGTAGACTAACCCTTTTCCAAACTTGTCAATGGAGCTGATCACGAGGATGCGGTCGCCTGCGTGGATTGGCTTCAAAGACTCCGCATGCATATTCACTGAAACGTTTGGGGTTTTTTCTGGCAGTAGTCGCTCCATCATGTGTATGGAGTTCATGGCGTCTGAAAGCCCCACCTCGATCCCGCAGGCCAGTGCCTTTCTCTCATCCGATCCCGTACCCTCACAGAGATCTTCATGAACAAGCATGGGAAATGCCATGAGGGCAGTCACGCTTCGGTTAGGGTTCTGTGCGTCCGTGTCCAATGCAACATGGATTACCTCCTCAGAGATGCGGGCGCCGTTGAAAAGCAGGTTTGTGATCGGACTGCTCTTCTTGAACTCGTGGAAAGCCTTAGCGAAAATCGGGTTATGCTTGATAACAGGGACCCACAGAGACTGCCGCTTTAGCATCTTCTCTGTTATTATTCCTATTTTATCCACTCTGATTCTTAGATACGTACATATACAATATATATAATTCTTTCACTTTGTTTTAATTGACGTTTCCATCAATACGCGTCAAAAACGACTAATTGGTAAGACATTGATAATAGTGAGAAAACAAAATGCAGTATTCGAAATCATACTGATTAAAATGACAAACCATAGACGAAGAAAACCTTGAAACCACCTCGTGTTTCTTAGACATGTACTCGCCCTAACGCGTTGCCGGGAATAGTGATCACAAAGTAACAATAATAAAATGCACTATTAGCAAATGCAAGCGAGCGTAAAATCCACCTGCGCAGACTCAGCATCAAAATCGCGCATAGTCACACTCTAAAGTGTGATCATTATTTCTGTATCTTCCCTCCCCCTTAAATGAAAACAAATGAACAAATGTGAACCCGGGGGCGTTTTCGCTCATTTGCCTCATTAATACTAAAAGAGAGTAAAAAACAAGGGGCATTGAAATCTCAACCCAGTCATCCCCATCCATGGATCTATGTATAGATGCATACATGGATGAATGAACCGATCAATAGATAAAAAAAACGCGAGATAGAGAGACCCCTTTTAATAATTATGGTTATCCCCTTCAGCAAGTGGCGTCCCGTAGCAGACACTATTCTTTTCTCCCAAGTTGATGGCCGGCGGAGTCCGTTTGGGCTATTGATGACCGCATGCCATTTTAGTCGATCCTTCGGCATATGGTTGTTGGTGTTGCTCGTTGGCGTCTGCGGCCCAATTGAACATTTCCTCCCGATGGGAATCCCTTCGCATGGTGGGATCGGCACGACACCCTCCCCTCCCCCTCCTTGTGTGCGCCGGCGCGTCGCCGTCGTCCTTGTGCCCGAGCGAGGCCTCCGTCGCGATGTGGATCCGCTCGTCCTCGCCCTTCCGTCGTCCCCTGCTATTCCGTTGCCGTTCGATGGAGCTCAGCGTCACCTGCTGCCCGCCCAGGCGTGGGAGCGTCTCGGGCAGGTTAAACGCCTTCGCGATGGTGTCCAGCTGATCGGGGCGGAGGCTCTCCGGCCACTTGACCCCGAACAGGATGAACAGATCCCCCTTCTCCAGCCCCCCGGTGTTGGGCAGCGGCATCCCTTCCTGTTTCACGCGCCAGACACTCGTGGGGTTGAGCACCTGCCCGTGCGGGACCTTCACGACGATCCGTCGCCCGTCGAGGTGGGTGATGGGGAGCTCGAACCCGCAGAGGGCCTCCCGGAGGGTGATGATGCGGCGCAGCAGGAGGTGGTCCCCGAGGCGCCGGAACGGCCCGCCGTCCTTGGCCATCTCGATAAAAATCAGCACGTCGCCGGGGCCCGGCGCGCCGGGGGCCTCGTCGCCCTCCCCACTGAACCGGAACACGTCCCCCCGCCGCGTCCCCTTCTCGAGGTGCACCTCCAGCTCCGCCGTCTCGCCGACGACGCGG